TTTCCTAACTGTGTACACCTTGAGTTCCTTCAACTTTTCCGAACAATCGAGTTAAAAATCGGATAAAGACAGTGCTTTTATCGATAATCTTTGCGGTTCTATTATGCTTGTGAAAACCTCACTCGTTACCCATGAAACCTGTGCCAGGCTGCTGTTAGAACACTGTTCGCTAGTGTTCAATAGTCTGGTAAAATGTGAAACCAAATCAACTGAAAATGTACAGCGTTTGTGCACTAATCCGCTCTTTGGCTGTTCAGAGTCCAAATGCAGTGCTCCTTGCAAATGTTTCCATTTGGATACCATGGTTTCACAGAATCAAAACCAACCTTATGTTGTTCCAACTGATAAACAATCGCTATTTTACTAAACATTTCTCCGTCCACGTAAACAGAGCCCCTTGCTTTTCGTTAAGGAAGAGGTGTACTTCAATCTCTCTAAAGAGAACACGTCTCAACGTTTGATATGACTTCTTACATTATCGATACGCATAGGTGTGAAGATGCTACTGCTGAACACTAAAGCGCTAGGTAACATCGTACAGTATCGCGTTCCATTAAACAGACTCCTGAACACCATATCTGTATAGTTATTCCTGAACAATAGCACGCCTCATGACGATGTACGGGAACGTGAACCTGCAGGATTCTAGAGGTGTATATCTTTACAAAATACTATGAACCAGTTTACCTGCCTGCTCCCTTTACTCCGCCCAACTCATCATTGCACAAAATACCATTATAGACGTCATACTGACCTACTTAAAACAATAAAATCCATGAACCTGACATCCCTATATTGGTCTTGTACACCTTTATATCGGGTAGCCTGTGACCGTTCTATTTTTTTCATTTACCGCTACCCTGGGATCCTCGTTTAACTGCTGTGGAAACATTTTCGACTGCGTCTGGGTTACTTATTTCCTTCTTTCCCACCAATAAATCTTTAAGATTTATCCATCTAAATGAAGAGAGCAGATCACTCATTCCAATTCAATCCATCTTTTCCTTAAGTATATAGCACTTCATACAAATACTTTTTCGCAGCAGCGGTAGACTACTCTGCAGGCCAAATGAACCTGAGCCCTCCCCAATTTATTTTGTATTTCATCTTCCAAAACTTGCACAACTACAAATGTCCAAATGAATGGTTGGCAGCAACACGTCTCCCAACCTACCAGAGGTGAAAGTACTCTGAATCTCATTTTTTCATTTGGCATAGCTGCAATCAGTGTTAACGTTCTTGATGAATTTCCAGGGAGCGATCATCGCGTGATCAAATGCCACCTAAGACTCCGCATGGCCGATGTACAGAACACAATGCATTATCGTTTGTTCAGTTCTGTCAACTAGGACCATTTAAAGACCTGGTACGTTCGAAGAATTAGGATAAATTCTTCCTCTGTTTATGTCCTCAACATGCGACGGACCTGTTTTATAGTAGAAGTAGCCTCTTTATCGACTCAGCAGTACCACCAAAATGTGCTTACCAAACTAAACATAAATCCGATCGCAAGGTCTTGAAGGCAGCACTAAAGCTTCCTAATCTTCGGCAGAAATTCAAGTTAACTGCTGACTTTGCGCTACTATTTCAGCAGTCCAAGCTCGTCGAAGAACAGAGGCATAAAAATGACAAAACTCTCATTCTAGAAGAGTATAAATCTCTGAACTGCCCTAGCAAAACAACTGAGCTAGCCAAACTATTCCGTGCCCCGGGTTCGCGTTGAAGTGACAACTTCAATTTTATCACCACACAATACACCAGGTGATATCTGCGAAGCTTTCACCGTGCTTATTTTGCTGAATCAATGCTCAGTGAATCATCAGACCCACTGACAATTATCTTGCTGCATAACAATGAAGGTCCATGCACAGTGGAATTCACTATAGCGAAAATCACTGGTCAAGTCTCTCGCTTATACTCCTCAACCTGAGCAGGCCCTGATGGGATCCCCCTTGTTTAATAAAAACAGTGGTAGTGACTTCCTTCTGCTTTTGCTCAACATCTTCATAATCTCTTTTAACAATAGAGTATACACTACTTAATGAAAAACTTCTGTCGTTGTCCCGCGACATAAAAATGACGCTGCCCACGTGGTTAAAAACTTTCGTCCCATCAATCACACACCCATCGTATCTAGAATAATGGAAAGGATGGTGAAAGATGAACTATTTATATTCTTGAAAAAGGCTAACGTTATCAGCAATTCGCAAAATGGCTTCATGCAACGTCGATTCTGCGCAACATGCCAGACCGACTTTTTAAACCACGCAACGGCTGCCATTGACAACGGAAACATTATCGTAATCCTGTTCCTGGATATGCAAAAAGCCTTTGATAGAGTGCCTCACAGTAGGTTACTAAACAAACTGAAGGCTATAGGCATTGGAGAATCGATGTTCTCTTGGCTGCCTTCATATCTAATTGGTAGACAGAAAGTGATGCGCATAGGTGACCATTACTCTAAACCGAAAGCAATCACTAGTAGAGTGATTCAAGGGAGTGCTCTTGGTTCTCTTCTTTTTCTAACGTATATTAACGACATATTCCAGAGGATAAGAAATGGTGTTACATTTATCTTTGATGATGAAATTAAAGTGGTGTACTCACAACCACATGCAAATACTCAGGAAGCCGTACGTCTCATTCAGCATGACCTATCTGCCCTTGACTCCAGGTGCTAACTGTTGCAGACGTCCTTTGCAGTGGACAAGTGGAATATTTTGTTGTACAAATACCTAGTACCGCCAGACAGTTTATTAGTACAAGGCGCATATATCTCGCAATGCGTGGCAGTGCACTACTTGGGCGTGCGATATTCAGTCACATTTAACTTTTCTGAACACTGTGACTTTTAAGTTTCGAAAGCCATGAAGACCATCGGTTATATCTGCCATCCATTTTATCTCACGGAATCGCGCATATCGCTTTACAAAACATATGTATGGCCGTGTACGGAATACTGTTCAATGGTACAGTCTAATCTGTGGAAATCTGACCAGCTCGTTCTTGAGAGGGTTCAGAGAGGCTTCAGAAAAAGCCATGTGGATATTCCTCAAAGTTGACATACAGAGAGCGATGTGATAAACTTGGATTTGACCCAGTTTGGCTTCAGATAATGAAGCTGAACCTATCTTTTCTTTACAGAATCATAAATTGTCAAATTCGCAGTGTTGATAACGGTGTTTACATATCTTGAAACAGCAGATATCCAATACGTAACAAAGAGGTAAATGTCATGATTCCAAAATTTACTACGAGAATCAGTGAACGTTTCTTTCTAACCCAATACTCAAAGATTTGGAACAAACTTCCAAGTGGTATCAGAACATGCTTTACACTGCGATTTTAAGCTTGCGATTAGTAAGCATTTAACCGTTCAAAACGTGATTAAGATGTTCGGGACATCACAGTCCCTAGATCACGCATTCGAAAACGATATTCATGGTGCCTGAATAAAGTTCCGAAACACATACACATAACATTTCGGACAACAGCCCCTATCATGACATATCTTTTTCGGCCTAAATACCTGTCATGTGATTGTGAAGAATCCTGATTCAATGGCAGGAAAAGAAACAAAACGATTCCGATTACTCTGTGTTACCTAATTTGCAATCGCGCCCATGTTTATCTCTGAAAATGTATTAATGAAATATCATGGAAAAGTTGTACCATTATTTGATCTGTTCCTTCTAGGGAACAGCTTCTCGCATCATCGAGGATATACAATTTATTTATTAAAAAATAGTTCAATGGAAACAAACGAGTCGTTGCTATTCGCAGTCGGAGACAACATATGGTAGTGATACTGTATGAAGCAATTTCACCTTTGATGTTATTCGTTGGAACAAGCACTTGCACCCTAGTCATGGAAATCAACTTCACGAGTGCCCGGGGGTTTAGACGCGCAGATTTCGGGGAACTTAATTTCTCCAAAGCCGACTTCGATTCTTAAGTACGGAAGCTTATTCAGATACATCAGCATATGAGCAAAAGGACCAACCTTAATCACATCCCTCTCCACACAGTATTTTTGACTTGGAAACGGACACAGTGTCACAAATAATTATCAGTATGTAACTGATACACATGTAATTCATCTTGCAATTTTTCTGCACTCTACTCATCAACGTATGATAGATATATTGTCATTTCCTGCAGCCGAAGCGTGATCGCACGTATTTATGTAGTTACTTTTCGTTCGCGTCTACATTTTGATTGGACCAACCACCTGGGCCGTGTGTCGCCCTGTTGAGCAATAAGGCAACGTTTTGTTTATCTAATGTTTCCTGTGTAATCACCGAATCGGAACACAATAAAACGTTGAATAAGGTCTTGATCTGTCTTGTTTTCTGAACTTCATCGAAGCCAAATATATTTAAACCTTTTCAATGATCACCTTCATACCTGCACTAGACCAGTGGTAGCCCGTCCGCATTGTTATTACAGTTAGGCTTATGGTATAATTGTTATTGGCACCTAACTAATAACAACACTGAATCAGGGGTATTATTGCATTTATGAGACAGAATATACGGTTGCGTTTTAACGGTAGTCATACCGCAGGATGGTTAATGTGACTAAGGAAGCGCACAAATAGGAGACCCTTCAACACTATGCAAGTTATGGTTTACTCATTCTTACTAAGTACTAGGTTTGGTGGGTTGTCTGCTCAACTACAACCCAGTTCCCTCATTGGAATGCAAGTTATTGCTGTTTCGTTTGGGTCGGTAGCGATTTGCGTCTCATTTGGAGCAAAAATCTGTGCGTTGCGCATGCCCAGTCACCTTCACTAACCAACTGCAGCACATAGTGTCCACCGACAGCTGGCTGGTTCCTATTCATTTCCAGGTTACCACGTAGTAAACAAATGCGCCGGTCATCTTGACTGGTATTTTGCTGGGCAGTTTTCAGTGAAGAATAGTATTATTATGCACAATAAGTGAGCACCAACACACCAAACATCCCATTGACCAAATTTACGTTAAAGAAGCACTTACAAAGATTCCATTTGGCTGCTGGGTGATTACAGTTTCCGTTTCCATAGCGTTCCTTTCAACCCACTAAATTATTGTGCAACATCTTTTATGCTGTGTTGACCTAGTTTGAGATTGGACGATGGTGAATCAGCCAATAAAATGTGTTTTCGACCTAGGCTGGGCGCTTCATTCTCATGCACTAATCACTCAAGCATGGTACGATTCCGTTATTCGTGTGGTACGTCTTTCACTACCGCAAATCCTAAGGAGTTTACAACAATATATTGACTATCGTCCATTTTAATAACGGGGTAAGGGCAGCGAAAAGTGTCTCTTATAAAGTATTTCAGTTTTACAGAACTTATCGCCTTGTAGCACAGTTAAATAGGACAAAGTGTACGTACAAAACTACCGATTCTGAACGGCCTCCAGAAATGAAATGTTTTGCATTATGTTTTTCGCATCCTTGGAAGTAACTGCTCCGAAAAATGTAAAGTGGTTTCGATTGTATGAAGATCAATTCTATTCACCAGCATTGAGGTTTGCAGTGTCTTTTCATTGAACACTTGAGCACTGATTGCAACCATCTACTTTACATCCTCTGTTCTCCTCCTCAGTTCTGCTATTTTTTGCCGGTGCTCGGGCGATTGCATGCTTTGCTGGTTAAAAAACTATGGGATTATTACTGCTTACTGCTTCTACTCAAGCTGCTAGTAAGCACCCTTCTGCATCTTTTAATGAATTCATTTACGCCAACATTTTTTGTGTAATAACTCCTATGTACACAATTTTATCCATTGACCACCTTCCTTGATGTCCCATTCACTACGATCTACCAGTTCAAGTGGTAAATTATCCCGCGTTAGCAACTAAAGCCTAGGACACAGAGTGCACATGAGGCATGCTTCGTTGCTATTTTGTGTGAAATAATTGGGGACGGTTATGTTCTCTTCGACTGGTTATGCCACAGGGTACAGTAAGAATTTTCTGTATACGATTTCTTTGCTTGCTCCGTAACATTGCCCATCGTTGTCCTCTTACATGCTTTCCGGTCCCGACAGCGCTCACTTAACACTATCCAGTTATTAGTTAAGCTACTTGTATTAATGGACCAGCGGAAATTCCATCGGTTTCTGTAGAGTGTACCTTTACTACCTGATCTTTCCTAGAAACAATACGGTGTGGAGCAGTAACTGGTTCCGTTTGTTCCCACACAGAAACGCTCGCAACGTATTTACTTCCCGAAACTTCAAGCAATCACCCCTACAGAAAGGAAATCGAAGTAATAATGCGGAATGTGCCGCTGAGTTTTGTCACTCGTAGTGTAAGTATTCACCCCAAGAACACTAGGTCGATTTGGAATGAGACGGTGTAAAGCGTCAATTTACAAGAGCAATCCCGTTCTACTCCCAGACAAATTGTTGAGCACTGGTGTCATTTTAGCCATACCAAATGAACATTAATTCGCCTTATCACCTCTTAATGGATGCATCTTAGTCCGTTATAACTGCTGTTATGAAAAGCAGTATGAAAAATAACGTTAGCTGGTTTGTTTATATTGGGTTCAAACTGCAACAGTTAATACGGTTATTGTGTTTGCTTTTACTTTTATTTTCTACTTCAGATACAATACAATAAACGAAAGTCACTGTACTCGTTTTAGTAAAAGTATCCAGATAAAACATCTAATCCATATCCTTTGGATCCACTCTCTTGCTAACAAGACAAACGAGAGATCGGACTGTTGAAGTTGAACAAAGCCGCGGGACCAGATGATCTTCCTCCAGCCCTCTTCAAATTCGCAGGCTCTACTCTTGTTGATACTTTACATGAATTATTAGTGAAACTGTGGGAGCAGGAGACTATCCCAACCGACTAGAGCCGCTTTGTTATTGTTCCCATCTTCGAAGGGGGTTTGCGTTCAGAATGCGGCAACCATAGAGGAATCAGTCTGATCTCCATCGCCCCCAAATTACTCGCCTCCATAATTTTTCACAGACTGACTGGCGCTCGTGAAAACCAGATTCGTGAGGAGCAAGCCGGCTTTCGTCGAGGTTGTGGCTGCATCCACCACATTTCACCTTGCGTCAGTTGTTTGAGCACCGTCACACATATTGGCGGCCCACCGTATTCGTGTTCCTCGACAAAAGGTGCCTTCGATTCGGTTGATCGATGTGCCCTTTGGCATTGTCTAATCAGGAAAGGATTGCCAGAGAAATTCGTAAATATTATCCTAGCATTATATGCGCGTACCACGGGCAGAGTGAGAGCTTAGGACAAGCTGTCGCCACCCTTCAATATCTACAGCGGTGTGAGACAAGGATGCCCGCTGTCACATTTCCTCTTCCACTTCGCTGTTAACAAAATCATGGCGATGGCATTTACAGGACATTACTTGGAAGGTATGGAGCTACTCCCAGAAGAACGAGTTCTTGACTTGAAGTATGCAGACGACATTGCCCTCATCTGTGACAGCTCCCAGACGTGCCAAGCCGCGCTGGACAGATTAGCACTGGCTGTCAGCCGCTTCGGGCTTTGCTTTGCACCCTCGAAGTGCAAAACTTTCCTGCAAGATTGGCGGGGATCGCCTCCTGTGCTGACCCTTGGTGGGGATCAGCTAGAAGTCGTTCGGAAATTCAACTATTTGGGAAGATGTATCAGCGCCCTTGGGATCGAAGGCGAAATCAAGAACCGAATAGCAAAAGCTTGAAGTGCTTTTGCTAATCTTCGCCTCCTATGGCGGCGGCGCGACATTACTCTTGACCTGAAGGTTAAAGTGTACAATGCAGCGGTACTTTCGGTCCTACTGTACGATTGCGAGACCTGACCCCTTAGATCAGCAAACATGAAGAGGCTAGTTACTTTCGACCACCGATGCCTTCGCAACTTAGCACACATCTGGTGGGAACACCGCGTGAGTAACGAGCGTGTTCAACGCCTTGTTTAAGGCACAGAAAATGGAACTGAACTGCTCAGCACTGTCATTTCACGCACCAGGCGCCGATGGCTGGGTCATGTGTTGCGCATGCCAGCCCACCAACTTTCACGACGTGCGTTGTTTGCTCACCGGAGGTGTGGATGGAAGAAGAGGAGGGGTGGCCAAGCGATGACTTGGTCCAGAGAAATGCATGCACTTACTTCGGAGCTGGCCTCGGTTGGAGCTTCGGACTCCCTAATTGGGGTCCAAAAGACGATGAAAACTTTTGGCTGGGTACACTTGCTCAGTGGCATTCCTGCTGAGTTTCTTTGTCCCTCCCCATCCCTTTGAGCCTCCTCTCCACCTACGATCTCTTTTCGTAGCGTAAATCATAATAATCTTTCTTTCTGCCTAGTAGCCCACTGGTAGCTTACCGGAACGATGCCTATCCTTTGCTGATAGCTGAGTTGGCATGGAACTGTTGTATTTATTTGCCTTTTCCTTTATTTGTTGCGGCACAGTAGCTGAGGTGTTTCCCACCTCTAGCTGACGTGTACAATAATGCTGATGATACATATCCTCCAGTTTATTGCTCTCCGTCTATCCCATTTGCTGTTACCTCCTCGTCCTTCTGGAGCGTTGGTGTACGAAGTAATCATGTCGTTCCTTTTGTGTCAGACGTTGCTAGGTTATGTGAGGATACCACACGTGTAGGATTGCAAGCTTCTTACCACCTTTGAGTTCATGCGCCAAGGACATCCATCTGCAGTTAAGAGATGTCCTCTTGGCGTAGTGATATGAATTTATCAAAATTGTCTAATGTGTGGAGTATCCCTGTAACACTTTTGCTGGCAGAGGCCAGCAGATCTTGGGAACAGAAACTAGACAGCTGTTTTGAAACTTTGCTCACTTTAACATCGGCTAGAAACTTTTACGGTGAAACAAATACTTACTTTGAAGTTACATCATATCCTTGTTTATAAACAGTATCTTTGCTACTCAGTTCAAACAGGTTAAAGGCCTTTCTGTTCGTCATGTGTTCCGTGAAATGACGGCGATTTTATAAAGGCGGTGATAGGGGGGAAGAAGATGGTGAGTCCTCAAAGGTATCAATTCACTACGTGTGTATACTTGAGATACCAAGGAGAACTAGCTTAATCATGAGACTAATTCGTTTAGGACGGCAGTCGGCATATAAGTCAAACTGGTTCTTTCCGAGGTGCATGTGTGAGTTAAAGTCAAACAGTTGCTCATAAAGATGTTTTAGTGGTACACCAAATAGCATGAGCATGTCTGGGTTTGTCACCACAAATGCTAGAAAACGTCCGTTGAATTTAATTTTTCAAGCTCATTGTTTTGCAGTGCAAACTTGTCCATTGAAGTTTGGGATGCGCTCGGAAAAATTTACAAAATTTAGTTGCATATCGAAATAGAGCTTATTTCCGAACTAATTCTCAGCTACATAAAACGTACTGCTTTAAAGGAAAAACTTTGCCATCGATATCATCTATTTTGACCCAAAAATGCACGTTTTTATAGTTGTAGCCACCAGGAGCTCAGCTCAAGACGCAATCTCCACCTACCTTAGCAGCAATTTGCTACCTGTCGGAGAGCGGAGCAGTCTCTTGAGAATATCGTTCTTCTATCGCTCAGTCACCTCATTAGTTTCGCACAAACCGGTCTTCGTTCCAGCCCCCACATAGTGCCATGGTTCCCATCATACTGAGTGATAGGTGGACTACACTGCACACAATGAGGACAAACACCCTTCACGTCTGTGTAGACGGAACGGTTCTTCCGCAAACGGACTGAAGGTACCTCGAGGATAATAGTAATCTACTGGACGATGGCATCTTGTTCAATAAACTTGATCAAGTAGCCTGCCAAGGAAGCCTAACTTCGTTTACCAGTCCCATGAGCTCAGGGAAGTTTGTTGTGATCAAAGCCTAATTACGCGAACAACTTGCTGAGTAGTGCACATGCGGAATTTTTTCTTGCCACAGACGCCGCTGCTGGGAAGGGAAGTTTCTTACGCGACTATAATTTGGCGAGCGTGCAGCAAAATGCATGAAAAGAGTGCAAGTGTCGCAAATATATTACTGGTTAACATATTGAGGAAAACGAATGCATTCTATAGTGATCACAGTAA